AGTAAAGTAGAGCGTCTTTCTCGTGGTTAATTCTCGAATATAGTCATATGTTCTAGGAACATTCACCTTTCCACATAATTGAACTCATTTTTCTTTCAACTCTTTATTAACATCCCTCTAATCATGTCCACTGAGTCTACAGTGAACTAATCTCGAGCCTCCCTAATCCATGAGTTAAAGCACTCAAACATGTTGTTCGCGTTACATTGATTTTTTGTTATGTTTGGCGAGAACTGACATTTAGATTATTTGTAAGAAATGTCGAATCTCATAAATATCATTAGTTAATGCCAATCAGATCGTAATTGTTGCCCTTCCGATGGATCGCAGCTGTTGTCCGAATGCAGCTTAAGCCGACTTCATTAATAAAAAAAATGGGTGAACTAGTACTACCTAGTACATGTCCTCCTACCATTTATCCGTGGCCGCAGGCAACCTCATCAGAATCGGCGCAGTAGAGCGAGCGGATGCTCAGGGAAGAGGTCGGAGGACGAGTGGGACATTCGCGGACTTCTGCGGGGAGGAGGATGAGCTGGAATAATGGCGGAAACAAGGGCCTTCTGTGGAGGCTTCCGGTGGTGAAATCCAATAACATCGGGAAGCTCGGTCCAGGTTTCGGTTTCGGTGCCGGCTGCGGTATCGGTGCCGGTGTTGGTCTTTTTGGAGGTGAGCCTTGCTACATCTCTTTGCCCTTTTCATTTTTCGTTGTCTAGTCTTTTCGCCGGTAGGTTTTTGCTTTGTGCTTTGAATTCTTTTTCCTACTCTATCGTTTTGTTTCCTTGGTTTTAGTTTAGTGGAGCTCATCTTTTTTTGTGTTGTTTTTGTTAAGTTAGTCAACTTATGAGGTGAGACGAGTCAGCCTTTTTAGTTGAAGGACGAATTCTGAGATATATGCAGAAGTTTAGGGTTTTGATGATAATTACTGTTGTCAGCAGTGAAATTTTAACGATAATTTGTTGGTAAACAAAGAAAATTTTAATTAATTTAGGATCTGTTCTTGAATTTTGATCTCAAGCAGTCCAAGTTCATCCTAAGATGTGAGTAATATCATAAGAGATATTGTGCATCTTTTTTGTGTTTAAGGGGCCTTTTGGTTTAAAATGCCATTTAAGTTGTACGAGTGTAACCTTACAGGAATGTTATTCAATGATACTTTGGGTCTCCTTGATGCAAATATTTTTGGGAATCTGTCGAATTTCACTCCATACTTTTTCTTGCCTGCATGGAAGCACATTAAAAAAAAAAAATGGTCCCTCCAAGAAAACAATTTGTTCAAACTTTGGCCCCTCTGTTGATGGTAAGAACATATGTCAAATTGTTGATCATGTAATCTTTTTGGGTGTTGGGCTGCTTATAGATTGTCCCGCATGTACTATTATTGTGAATGGAAATTGGAGCGTCTCTGCTCCTCATTGTTGCACCAATGCTTCAAGTCTTACATTAGATCACATATTTCCACTGCTCTTTCTGTATTCATAAAGATCTTGTTAGAAATTTCATTGCATCATATTTAAGGGGTTGTTTCGGTCAATGCAATTAGCGTGGTGTTGAATCCGAGATTGTCAATGAATCACACCCAAAAAATAGAATGAAAATGAGGAGAGGGTGACATAAGCGAAAAGTAATGAATTGTGTATTCTTTATGAAATATTTCTCCTATTTATAGGAGAGATAGTAAAATATTGATATTACATTTTGGTTGCCGTTTAGAAGGGGTATGTACTAGGGTATTTCTGGTATTTTACAAGTGTGGATTTATCGTCCGACTGCCTTCTAGCTTGACCGACTAAGCTTAGTTGTCTTCGTGTCGACGAGATTAGCTCAGTCAATTGAGCTTGGTTGGTATGGTTCGGTTGGTTGATCCAACCTGGTTGACTATGCGCAATCCCTGGATAGGAGTTTTTGAGGTCTCCATAGGATTGGTCATAAATACTTTGTTAAACTGAATCTTCCTTTGGATCGGCTCCACTGGGGGGGGGGGGGGGTCTATCTTATAGAGTCAATTTTTTTGCAGTGATTGACTTTGATGCTTTTTGTCTCATTTTCGACCGAGTGGCTCTTGTTTGGAGCATCCCGTCGTCACCTCGTGTCTTGGTCGATTATGGCTTAGTTGGCTGGGCTTGTATGGCTTTGCTTGTTCGGTAGGGTGACCACTCTCCTCTTTTGAACTGTTATATCTTTTTAAGATCAGTTCATAAACTTTTATGATATGTATATTTAGTTTTCTAATTCTCTTACTTCTTGAAAGAGATACTGCGATAAGAATAAAAAAGTTTAATGTAAAAATTTAAGAACAGGGCACGATGGGACTCCATCCCATTTCTAATTTGCTCCGCGATTTGCCTTGTTTGAGTTGGTTGACTTTCGTGTATTGTGATGAATAACTTATTGTAATCTCATGTTAACATTCCCAACAAGGATCCAATTTTCTCCGCCTTTAGGAATCCAAAGGGACGAGACAGCTCGAAAGGTGAGAGGACGAAGAAAGCCATTGTGAAGAGCGAAAATGTTGCTCTCCCACTGTCGGATTAGGTGGGGTCGTCTGATTTGATCTTCGGTACTGGGTGGAGGAACGTTCAGCCCACTGACCCGACCTTTGATCTGACCACCCAACTCTGCGCTACGGCACAAGATCCTCCGACCAGCCATGCTCAAATGACCTCTGGCGTTCTTACGTTGCTCTTACCGGTGTATGTTGGTATGTTGGTGAGCCTGACAAATTGATTATAGTCTTTGAGTCGAGTCAGCTCTCGGGTACGAGGGACTTCGGTATTGTTTGTGGGATTTGATTTTTTGAAGTCTCTTTTTTATTTTATGATGATTCTTGATGCAGATAACCCGACTTCGATAAACCTGGACGATGATCTGGCTCCGATTGACTTGAATAATCTCACTGGGGCACCAGTGGTAGCAAATTAGGCGCCAGGCGAGGGCTGCTCACAAGTGAGGATGGCTGTGTTGATCTCCTTGACAACCCCCTTGAAGGATTTGGGATGCGAGGAAGCAGTTGGCCGACTCAGGAGGTCTTATGGGTTGCTTGCTCGTCGCCTGTATGAAATTGAGAGTTCCTTGCTCGGTCGGCAAGGATCCAATGGGGTGAGTAGCTGCGCGAGCTATTGGGTCGTACCGAGACGATGGGGAAGATGATGGTGATGATTTTTTGCCAAGAGTTGTTGGAGGTTCGAGAGAGATTTTTTATCTTTCAGGTGCAAGCCAAGTTGGATTGGGTGAATCAATTTAGGTCTGGAGGGGAGTTCTTTTATAGGAGTTTGTTTCGACTGAAGCATTGACAAATCCCCTTGTAAAATATTTTGCCTCAAACTTGTTTTTAAATGCTTTATTATAATTTAATTGTCATTTTTGGAATTAAAAATAATTTTCTTGCTTCATTTCTTGTGTTGTTGTGATCCTGCTAATAGCTTACCACAAAAACGACTGTTTATTTCTGCTTTACCTTTGTGTGATGGTTAGACTTCCTTAATTTCCTTATCTTTATAAAGGGTGTATAGGGTCGAGTGGTTACACTTCCTCTACTCTTTTCCCCTCCTTTCGCTCTTTTGGCTTCTGTTCTTGCGCTCTGCTCGATGGTTCCCCGATATAGGCCCAAACTTGTATCTATTGTATAATGTTAGTGAAAATTTTGTTCTATTTATAGATTAACATAAATAGCTGTCTAATGAATGCACACCTTTGTGATATTGTTTCCTCGACTAGTCATATATGCCTATGCTGTTCATTGATTAGTTTTATTGGAAGTTTTATAAATGCATGTATCTGTGATATTGTTTGCTCTTTGGCTGATATATGTCAGTACACCATTTTGCTCATTTGAATGAACAGGTGCAGGATTAGGGGCTGGATTTCCTGGCCTACAATTTGGTGTTGGAATTGGTGCTGGATGTGGAATAGGCTTTGGTTTTGGTTATGGCATGGGAAAAGGAATTGCATATGATGAGAATCGAAGATATTCAAATGTTGGAAAGCTATTTCTGGGAAATGGAAATCATCCGTCTCAGTGAGTATTTAGTTGCTTGTATTCCTGAATTTTTCTTGCCAGTAATATGTTTTTTCTCTGCAAAATTTATATAAGTAAGCTTCTAAAGTTGTAAGCTAGCAGTTTACCACAAGCTCATTAGGGATTATTTGGTTTAATGAATTTAGAAAGTTGTTTTAGAAAATGATGATTTTTTTTTTGTTTATATTGAGTGAGAAAATAAAATCATTTTTTTTATAGGACTCTTGAGGAATTTTATGGTGATATTAGTTTCTAATTACGTTCAAATAGATGATGAATTTGATAAACTTTCTTTTTTCCTTAAAAATATATTTTTCGAACTTCAATTAATTAAATGAGCCATTAAACAAAAAAGATAAGTAATATAAAGTACATAAAGAAAGAGAGAGAGAGAGAAAGAGAAATCATCATTGGTGGGAATGACCTCCTAAATAGCAGTGGAAAACTTGGGAGAAAGCTGACAATCAAGGAATCAAAGTTTTATATTTGTTTAAAACCACTCACACCAGCAAAATAAGATGCCAATTGTTGCGATGCTTCAATTTAAAAGTCAACAATAATACTGTTAGAATACTGATTGTTATGAAGATCAAAATAATTTTAGTTTAATGCATCAAGTGGGGTTGAATTGGGTTTGCTTTTTCATGAACGGTATAATTTCCTTTAAAATTCTGCAACATTTGAATTTCTCCAAACAGGTGGAATGCAGTGTGGAAGATAATGGTAAATATATATAACAACAATAACAAGAAATGTAACAAAGTAATATGTGGAAGTTAATACCTTAGCAAGATTCACAAATTAAATACACAATACTATGATCACATATGTAGGTTACAAATAATAGTAAATGTATTCTATTGTAAGGTGAGCTATCAATTTAAAGCACAATATGAGCAATGTGATACTCAACTATAATTTACAAATTTGTTATCAATTAAGTTGATCTGACGAATGTAAAGCACAACCAAATAATGATATTGACTAAATGACTAAGTTAGTAGAGAGTGATTGAACTATAAGAATAATTATATAATTTGATTGAATTACATTAGCTCATAAGCTTAAACATATCAAACATAAACCAAAAACATCCACAGAATATATTTTTTTAATGCAAATAAATCTATCCTAAGAGTACAAGCATATAACTGTTTAGCATAAAGAGAGCAATTAGCTTAACAAAAGCACATGAGATTTTATTTATCACTTTCACTAGCTTACGAAGTTTAAACATACTATTGTTAAAATAATAGAATGACATCTACTAACATTCTCCAATACTTTGGTAGTTGCTAATACTAATACCAACTACCATAGGATTTATACAATCTTAACATAAAGCTATTGTGAATGATCTAAAATAATACTGTCAGATTGAGAGAGAGAGAGAGAGAGAGAGAGAGAGTAGATACTCTAAACTTAATCTCAAGGGATTGAAATGATGAACACTTGAAAGTTTTTTTATTCTTGATGAACAATTTCTCAAGAACAAAAGAACTCTTAATTCGATATGAAATGTATACGGAATTAGTAGTCTATTAGAGTAGAAGCTAGTGACACAAACACACATTTCGTGAACTATAATGGGAGTCTTAAAATACTAAAGTAGAAATCAACAAATTATAGCAAATAAATATTTTGCCTGTTCATTAGATAACTAATTTAGCCTGAATTTTTGCAAATAATTTAAAATAATTATCAAATTAAAGGAAATTTTTAATAGTTTAATTAACATGTTAATCATGCTTAAGATCTTCTTACATTTAAGTAATAACTCAATTATATAAGGAAATGCATAAATAATTGTGAAGTTAATTATCTAACTCCTCCATTTTGTTTTCTTGAAATTCTTAATTCACCATTTTGGGACCATCTTCAAGTTTCGTTGCCTAAGCAAGCTTAGTGGAATAACTAATCAGCTCCTTGTTTTAGCTAACACCTATTTAATCAATAAAATAACATCAAAAAGTTTAAGGGTGCAATCTCTAAGCAAGGCATGGTAATCATTAAGAGGCTGTTCCTTTAGTATTTCCCCTTCAATATACTGCATGTTTCATGATTCTGCCCTTTCATTTTGTATTCTAATTGACTGTAAGAAATCTAATTCGGAAGGACCAATGTTTTCTTATTTTCACCTGCTGCTGTTACTCTTAACTTGTCTACAATCACTCTATCACTACTGTGTCCAATCTTTACTGTCATCAGCTATGCAGACAAGCTAGAATTATTATACTTGCTTCCGCACATCTTAAGTTAGAGAAATTTACATACATACCAAATAATTCTTATGTATTTACATATCTAACTCCTAAAATTTGATATTTACGCTCATAAAAACTCGGTCTCATAAAGCTATGCATGACAACGTGTGTTTCATTTTTAAGAAGGGAGTGATGGTGATGTTTTTTATGTGATGTTAAAGATTTGAGGGGTATGCATGTAAATATGACTGTTTGTGTTATTAGATGTGCAAATACATAAGAATTGTGTGCTCCTTTAATTTATTTCTTCAAGAGATCACTAGACAAATTTCAATTTCTTATCAGTCAAATTTACAGGGATCGCATCGAGACCATACTCGACGAGATGTTTGTAAATACAAAAAGGTTAATCGAAGCAGCTTCGAAGGAGATTGAGAAGTGGAAATGAACTCGAAACTGCCCCTCCTATTTGTTCCCTCCATTTTCATGTCTCATGTTAGCATTCTTGTGGATCAAGACAAACACCCCAAAGCTATCTTGATTGTAGTGATCTTGTACTAGTCAGACATTTACGTGTATTGCGCCGCATTTTCGTCTATTACTTCTGAGTTGATCACGTCCGTCGACTCCAAGAGCTTAACTTACTACCTGGCTGTGGAGTGAGAAATGTGGCAATCCCAAGCTTTTGCATTGTTACGGGTAATTTAGTTGGGAGTGTAGTCTTCTACCTTGAGGTCGTGAGTTTGAATCACACATATTGTCTTTTGAGCTCACATTTTAAAGCAAAGTAAAAGAAAAAAAAAGAAAAGGTTGAGAGTTTTAATTATTTTAATCCTTTAATGGACATTGGGTACTTAAAACATGCCAAAATATTTATGATTAATATGACAATGTATAATGTGCTTGTATTACATATCTAAACATATAATAATTGTATTGGCACATGCTCATTAAACTAGTGCAAGAGAAGATTTTAAGAATTATACTTGGTATGTGTCATCCAATTAGAGATTTACTCAACATATGTCCAAATGTATGTTTATATGCAATTAGTATTAAGGGTATGTATTTATATAAGTAGGTAAATATATATTTATTTTTACATGAAACCTAAGGTATGTTTTCCTTAAATTAAGAAATTTTGCTTGGGTTAAGATTGAGTAATTAGCTCTTTTTTAAATATTTATACATAGAAATATGGTGGCTAAAAATAGATTAAAATTTAATCAATCCTTAATTTATTTGAAAATATAAGTGAACATGAAATTAACTAAGTTAATATTAAATTATATTGTAAAATAAAATATGAGAGAAATCCTTAAAATTATTTCATATCCTCCGCAAATAATTTGAAGAAAATATGGAAGGTTTCAATGAAGTTATAGAGTTTGAAAATTTTCGAGAGATTGAGATGCACATAAAAAAATGTTATAGTTGACCTCTTAGGCATGATTGATGCGCTTTGAAAAATTATTTGTCATGTATGAATCTCGGGAGCATTTCAAATTATAAATATTTCGAATTCAAATTCAAACTCAGCAAGGGCCTTGGTTCCAATAAACTTGTGGTCAAACTAAGAGTCTCGACAAAGCGGGCCCAATGAAGCCAAGATTAGTTTGGTTTGGGTCTGATCAAGCCCAGCTCAAGTTGTTTAATCACAAGGGGAGGATTTGAATGGACAATTGAATGCTCATATAGATTCCAAAGTATGATAAGTTTATAGTTAAATTGAGTGTTTTGTCGAGCCGAATTAAACGGGCTTAATATCTCTCAATTTTGACATTATTAAGACACTCAAATATTTCTCAATTCTGACATTATTAAGACACTCAAATGTTCATGGAGCACCATTGGATCAAAAGAATAACTCTGAGTCGTTTGATGGAGTAGTTTTTATTAATGCAGTATCTACGGAGATGCCTCTCCCAAAATCTATAAATGGGGCTCACTCTCTTCATGAAAGGGGACTTGGGACTTGGTCCTGGAGGACAAGGGTAAAGGTAGATCCAAGCTGTTAAGGATTCAAGAGCTCCACCACTGTCAGAGCATGTGAGTAGCTCGTGTTCTTTTTGTTAAGTAGTTCTTGTTCAAATTGTTTTTAAGTAAGCCGAATTCAAACATAATTTTTAAGCTCGAATTATAAACAAGCCAAACATGAGCAACTCTTTATTCGATCGTGTTCAATTCATTTTAGCTCGAAATAAGAAAATTATATATATTATTTATATAATAATACATTATATGTATGTATATCTATGTTGAAATTATGACAGTGTGTCATGTTGTTCCACCCCTTTTATTGTATAGGAATGGTGCAAGTTTGAATCCAATGCCCAACATCTATTTTTTCAATTAATTTAAACAAACAAATTTCGAGATGAATATGAGCCGAACTTAAACTAAAATATGTAAATTGAGCCAAGCACAAACACACCCTTCACTAGCAATTTGGAAACGAGTCAATTTTGAATATGCACAAATTTTGAATGAGGCGAACAAGAGCCAAGTCACTGCTCGTTCAAGCTTGACTAGTTTACATCCATAACCACCGTTGGATTGTTGTCGTCGAGCTCCACTATCGCGGACCACTGCCATCAAGACGTCGAACCACTGTCGCCCGACTATCGCTATGAAGCTCCAACATTGACGAACCACTGCCTCAATCGTTGAGCTCCACCATCATCAGACCACTACCTTCAAGCCCATCACCGCCAGACCACCAATACCTGACCATCGCAGCAGGAGCATCATTGCTCGGCCATTGCCACTACTCTAGCGGACACTACCACCACCATCAGTCATAACTACCAAAGAAACTGACATCAAATTTCATGGCACATGACATTTACTTTAAGGTTTTTTTCACAACAATTGGATTGCTGCCACTTTCTTTGCTTTTTCTACCGCTTCCCTAGCGAAAGACATGCCCTACATAAGCAATAATTCTTTCAGCTGTTAAAAGGCTAGTAAATTCTTGTAACTTGCAACAACATAGTGAAATCATTGTTTTTGTCAAGCCTTCTAATTTTTTTCCTCCCGGGGTTTCCACGTAAAAACTCATGATGCATTCTCTTTCAATTTAGTTTTACCTATGTGTGTGTTAGATCTTCTTTCAACACTAAGACATTAATATATCATTATTCACTCACTAGCACATAACAGTTTGACGCAATATGTGAGAATGATAATCTCACAATTGAAGAACTTAGAAATCTTGTAATATAATTAATAAAAGTAATACTTGTAACAACGGAGCATCACGTTCTAACACCCACCACTTCACAGGACAATCACAAAGCCAAGAATGTCAAGCATATGTTTTTTCCCTCCACAAAAGGAGTCATCCTGCTAGCAAAGGTTGCCCAGACTCATCTTTGGAAGATCAAGTGTGCATAATGGAGGAGTTTTAACATGAGATTCTTCAACTTCTACATGAGTTTCGATAGTCGATGCTCACATAGGCGTATATGGTTTATTTGCCACAAGATCAATAGCCACATAGAAAATCTCTAACTTAAGAATACTCATGCCTAGCCTCCTCCCCATTATGATGGGATTCCTCCTATACAACAACAACAACAACAACAACAAAGCCTTAATCCCACTACGTGGGGTCGGCTACATGAATCCTTTTTCTCCATTGCGTCCTATTTAGTGTCATATTTTCAATTAGTTCTAGAAAATTAAGATCATTTTTAATACAATAAGCCCAAGTCTTCCTAGGTCTACCTCTGCCTTTCTTAACACAAGTTAAATTTAAAACATCTACTCTCCTAATCGGATCATCTAATGGTCGACGTTTAATATGACCAAACCATCTAAGACGACTTTCTCTAATTTTGTCTGTCACAGGAGCTACACCAACCCTATCACGAATATATTCATTCCGCATTTTGTCTCTAAGTGTAAAGCCACTCATCCACCTAATCATTCTCATCTCGGCAACACTTAACTTATTATTATGCTTCTCTTTTAAAGGCCAACATTCAACGCCATAGAGCATTGCAGGTCTCACCACCATCTTATAAAATTTTCCTTTCAGTCTTAGCGGTACTTTTCTATCACACAAAAGGCCCGAAGCATTCCTCCACTTCAACCAACCAACTTGAATTCTACTATTAACATCCCCA